GATAGATAGATAGATAGATAGATAGATAGATAGATAGATAGATAGATAGATAGATTCAAATAAAGATATACTGAGAAAGAAATTCAGATAGAAGATAGAGAGAAACACTTGCAGGGAGGGGATGGGAAAAGGGCTACTCAGTAGTCTAACAGTTTGACACCATCAGTGGCACACAAACACACACACACACACACACACACACACACACACACACACACACACACACACACACACACATACACCTTTATTCATTTCTCTTTTTGTTTGTGTATATGTCTGTCTGTCTGTCTGTCTGTCTCACTCTCTCGCGTACCTTTCCAATTAATTCGCTCTAACGCTCCCTCACTTTTTTCACCAACTTCTTAAATCTTCCTTCTATTCTCTCCCGTGTCATAACATAATACATTTACTCATAATAGTCAGTCGTTCATTACGAACACACATATCCTTTCATTGGTTCTGTCTCGTGGGAACGCGAAGCTTCATTGGATGATTCTAGTGGCGGAAACGGAAGTCAAATTTTACGTTTGAGTAGACAGAAGGTTTATATAAACTCCCTTCTACGCGCCAGTTGTAAATTAAGTTCATGTTGATTTATACTGCAGTGTCAAAGAGGGTTTAGTACAGTAGGATAATGCGAATATACGGGATTTTGGGCTGGGGGACGGGAAATATGGCGCAAAATTGTGCTATTCGAGATAATCCACAATAATAATGTCCGACATCTTTTTTTCATTTTGTTCTTTCATGAAATAATAAAAGGAAAAAAAAAATTGGCTATGAACTGACGAATAGGTATATTACATTCCATTCTGTGACTCGCTTGCGTGCGCGTGTGCGTGTTCATTGACAGGGTCTGGTAAGGGGACAAAGACTGGCCGTCTTGGAAGGGTGAGCAAACGTTTACATGGAATGTATGCCGATCCAGTGCCGTGTTTACAGTGGGCCCCTGCAAGGCTTGCTTCCTCGCCGTTTTAGCCTTCCACAGAATGTAAACGCTCCGTAAATCGGCTGTTCATGACAGCTCTCGACGGACAGGAAAAACCAGAAACCCAAAAATAAGAGCAAAAAAAGCTGGGGAATTGACAAGGACGGCGTGAATTGGATGAGACGCCGACGTGTGTTTTAGGATCACGTGAAATTTAAAAAATTAAAAAATCAATTTTGCGCATTGCTCTCAATATTCTATATTTTTTTGTTATTTTTATTTCCCCCGCCCTTTGCTTTTATAATTCCAAACGGTGGTAATAGCACCCACGCCATAACCTCATCTCTTTTTGGGGTTTGATTATTTTTTCCAGTTTATTTCTCGTCCGAACTTTGAGCAGGACATTGGGATGAACATTGACAGAACGATAGAAGATGAACTGGAAAAAGACACTGGTACACACGTGTGGATGCAGCCACGGTAATCTTTGATTCAGTATCACTTACATAAATGAGAAGGAGTTTAAAGAATTTTTCTTTTAATGGCACAGCAGAGAATTGCTATTTTCAGAAGCACGAGCAGGTACTTACAGTAGCAAATTGGCCAAGGTGTCAAAACAGACACAGTCATGTTCTCGCCTGCTCTACATGGATCCACCAGTGCAGGTGGCGCCGGGCATCCTTAGGAAACAGTATTAATTACCTCGGGTAGGTCGGACGCTCTCAGCCCATTAGCGGATAGCCGCCACGGATGTGAAAGGGGAATCATCGGTTTTGCTCACTCACTCACTCGCACTTTCTCACTCACACTCACTCACTCACACGCTCGCACATATCCCCCCTCTCTCTCTCTCTCTTTCTTTTTTTTCTCTCTCTTTCTCTCGCTCTCTCTTTCTCTCTCTCTCTCTCTCTTTCTCTCTCTCTCTTTCTCTCTCTCTCTCTCTCTCTCTCTTTCTCTCTCTCTCTCTGTCTCTCTCTGTCACTCACTCACTCATTCTCTCACTCGCTCACACACACACACACGCACTCACACACACACACACACAAACACACCAACACTCACACACAGCAGCAACCTGTTGTGAGTGAGTGGAGCCATCAATTAGGGCCTGCCCTCTCACCGCTCGCCCCGTACTGGCCGGCCGATCGGACGCCGGGCGCGCGCAATGCAAACAGTTGTTAGTGGACAATTAGCGCTTTCGGGCATGCGCGCGTGGGGTCAGGCCAGACCTGTTAGACGGGGAGAGAGAAATTGGGGAATATTCGAGTACGAAGTGGACGGAAACCGGAGTCAGTGGTGTAGTGGTTAGAGTCCTTGCGTTGTTTGCGCGAAAGATTTGAGTCGGTTTTAGATATAGTGGTTAGAGTCCTCGCGTTGTGCGAAAGATTTCAGTTCGATCCCGCACGTGGAAATAATTTTGTCGAAGTATCCCCTCCGTCTGTCTTCTGGGAAAGAATACCTCACCCAGGCCTTGCTAGCCCTAATAATAGGCATATTGGAAGCAGCCCGCCTCCTAGTTATTATTCTTGTTTCTGTGGGGGGCGAAAAACCAGTTCCGTTTGTGTGGGCGGAGAGGAGAGGGAGGGACGCGAGTGGGTGTTAGACAACAGCGCAGAATTCTATTAATTACCTCTAATTACGTGACTCTTATTGTTGACCGTTTATACACTCCTTGTTTGCCACTTACGCGCCTTTGTTTCTCCTCTGCTCTCTCTCTCTCTCTCTCTCTCTCTCTCTCTCTCTCTCTCTCTCTGTCTATCTGTCTCTCTCTCTCTCTCTCTCTCTCTCT